CATCCATCCATCATCCTATCTACCATCTATCTATCCATCCATCCATCCATCTTCCTATCATCTATCCATCCTATCTATCCTCTATCGATTGATCTATCGATCAATTTATTGCAACAGCCCTTAGACTTATACACCGCTTCACAGTGCTTCACAGCCCCCTCTAAGCGGTTTACAGAGTCAGCCTCTTGCCCCCAACAATCCGGGTCCTCATTTTACCGACCTCGGAAGGATGGAAGGCCGAGTGAACCTTGAGCCAGTCAGGACTGAACGTACTGCATCACCAGGGCTCTCAGCTCGTGGCCTTTTTCTCCCAGGTGTCTCCGAGCCGATTTGGGACCAGCTGACCTACCTTGATAAGGAGCTGGAGCCAAACGAGCCCACGTTGCAAAATACGGGGCTGGTCCCCGGGTTGGAGCCAGTATTCAGGACTAAGTTTCTATCTGGCGAGCGGGCGGCGGCCGCAATGGGCTGTGACGTGGCGGTCAAACTGGCAAAGGGATTTTCTTCTCTCGAGTGGGTGGACATCATTAGGACTTCCATTAGCACTTGCCCAATCAAGTCTTTAAAGTCAGAGAACACTGGGAGGGAAGAGAAGAGGATCAACTGAGGACCTTCCACACATCTCACCCAGCAAAGGGAGTTTCAGAAGTGAATCAACCTGATCTGAACAGGCAGAGAGCATTTTAGACTTATATGCCGCTTCACGGTGCTTTCCAGCCCTCTCTAAGAGGTTCACAGAGTCAGCCTCTTGCCCCCAACAATCTGGGTCCTCATTTTACCCACCTTGGAAGGACAGAAGGCTGAGTGAACCTTGAGTTGGGCAGGATCGAACTGCCAAATTGCTGGCAGCCGGTAGTCAGCAGAAGTAGCCTGCAGTAATGCACTCTGACCACTGCGCCACCGTGGCTCTTGTTACATGCTCAAATTATTAAGGGGTGCTTAGATCTGGTCCACGGGCTGCCCTAGAAACAATGAAGGACCGGCCCACGGATCCTCTGCCAGTGATAATAGAGCTCAGGAGCACCGCATGTGGCCCCTCCTGAGCTCTCTTTTCGCAGGAGGCCGTCCCAGCCGAAAACGGAGCTCGGGAGCCCGTTTTCGCTGGCAGGGTCCTCGGGCCACAGGCGCCTCCAACGCGAGGGACGTCAAGCAGGCCGCGCCCACCCAGTCAACCACTACCCTGATGCGGCCCTTAATGAAATCGAGTTTGATCACCCCTGCAATGTTCTCACCCTCACTTCTTTAAGATGGGGGGGGTACTTCACCTCCCAGAATCCTCCAGTTAAAGCTCCAACATGTTGTGAGAGAGCACCCCCCCCTCTCCCCGGAATTCTGGCAACCCCGAGCCTGATCTAAACGGCGCTTAATTAACGCAGCTGGCTTTGGTAAGCAAATTCTGCTTTTGAAACACACCGCGGAGACAAAGGCGGATAAAAGTTCCTTACCGTCTTTAGGGTTCTGCTTGAACTGGTCCGAAAGGGAAGTCAGGAAAATGACGTCTCGGTCTCGGTCTTTCCAAGAGACCCGGAAAATCTTACAAACCAGCTGTAAGGCCTGCTCCTCTGAGATTTCCAATCCCGAGGGAGGCTCCTGCAAATGGACACCGGAAAATATTCGGGGTTCGTTTTGCCCGGCCAAAAGAATGCAGGGACATTTGGCAAAGCCATGATAAGTTGTCATGAATGGCCAAGGATAATTTTCTCTCTCCTTTTTACAGCCCAGTGCGCGTCTGAGCAAAGGAACGGGGTTCTCTTAGGTTGCACCGGGAATTGCAAACTCAGAATTAAAATTATATTTGCACTGTCCAGCAGGGAGGCGTGTTGGGATGTGGCACGGCTGTTGTAAAGTCTGGTGTTGTGGTGTTTGTGTGTGTGGACACATACGCAGGTAGACAGTTTGGCACAGAGGGGGCTAAACTCAGTGTTTTAGGCAGCTAGCACTGATGATGTTACCTAGTTTGGGTCATGAAGCGTCTGCGAGAAAACAAGCCAGCTGTCATGCTGTTGTCGGAGTCTGAATCCGAGGAGGAAGACAAGCAGCTGACAGGGAGTGGGGCTCCTCTGGCTGCGAAGGAGGCTGGGAAAGGGCAAAGTCCAGCTGGGCAGAGTAGGGGAGATGTAGGACAAGGGAGAGGGAGTTCAGAGGAAGACCCAGGCCATTCCCTCTTCATTCTAGGGCACGCAGGGAGGAATGGAGAAGGGAGCAACGTAAGTTGCATGGCTTATGGGGGAGGAAAGGGCCCTGATTCCCTTCATTAGCCACACCCGGGAAGAGAGTTTAAAAGAGAGGAGTGTGGCGTCCGCTGGGAACAAACATGAGTTTATCTTGTGTTGACTTTGGTTATCTGCGTTCCTGGCATCCTCCCAACCCTGTTGATTTACTACCGTTCCTTCACGCCTGGAATTCCTTTTCTTGCCCTGCCAGACTAATTACCTCATCTTGCCTTGATTGGACTTATAGTTACAGTTTTTGTTGACTGCATTTTGATTTTCTGCAGCCAAAGGCTTCTTCCTGGGAGAGTTTTTCTCCAGCCAGAAGGTGGAGAACATTAGGGACAAAGTTGGAGTTAATAAAGGGATTCTTACTGATTATCTGTGTTGCCTTTGTGCCACACCCCAGGTCATCCCACCAGCTCAGAGAGACCACCAAGGACTCCTCCTGTCAATCCTGAGCTATAAATATTCTCCTTTATTGATAGCACATTCGCCATTCTGCCTATCCCAAGATGCGAAGCAAGGGCTGTTCCAGAGTAGACAGTTATGGGCCTCTTCCTTTCCCCTCAAGCCCAGTGTGACTTCCTCACCTTATCCGAGAGGCTCCGCTTCTCCCTCCGGTCGCTCTCATCCACCTCCATGTTTTCGATCCCCGAATCCACATCGACCTGGGACAAGCTGGAAAGGGAGCAGAGGAACCCTTCAGACCTTCCAAACCTTCAGACCACTCCCCTGCTCCGAAGAGCAGTTACCCAGAACAGATGCTCCCAGCAAAGGAGGGCTTGGAGGGAAAAGCAACCCGATGGGCACAAAAACACCACAACTGTGCCATTGGCTTTTAATTGATGGATAACCAACTGCCCGGACACTGCTTGCTTTGGAACAAGCCAACATGACTCATGGAGGACAACTGCAGCACATTTCATTTCTCACCCCTTCCCACAGCTTGCGTTCTGTGGGGGAGTCTCTACGCAGGGCTGCCAAACAGAATTCAGCCCATGTGTGGGGAGAACAACATTTCAATTCTGCCGTCCCCCTAAAGCCATTATTCTAAGCTCTGGCTGGGTTTACAAATTTGTGTTTATCTGTACACACATTTGGACACGTTCCAGCCATCAGAAGACAAAGAGGAAAACCTACAGGGAGAACCTTAAGGGTTGCAAAACCAAATTTTAAAAAAGAGCTATTCCTCAAGCCTGGTAGAATAGAAATAGAATAGAATTCTTTATTGGCCAAGTGTGGTTGGACAGACAATGGCTGTGGATGAAACTGGGGAAGGCAAAGTCCAGCTGGGCAGAACAGGGGAGAGGTAGAGCAAGGGAGAAGGAATTCGGAGGAAGACCTAGGCTCACCCCACTCTTCATCCTAGGGCACGCAGGGAGGAACGGAGAAGGGAGCAAGGTGGGCTGCATGGCTTATGGGGGAGAAAAGGGCCCTGATTCCCTTCATTAGCTGCAGCTGGGAACACAGTGTTTAAAAAGGGAAGCTGCACACAACAAACTGTTGGAAGCAAATCGTGAATTATCTTTTATTGTTGAGGCTTATCTGTGTTCCTGGCGTCTTCCCAACTGTGTGTGTTTTGCTGGCCTTTCAAGTCTGCAATTCCTTCTCCTTGCCCTGTCATGTTAATTGCTGCAGCGTGGTTTATGTGGATTTTTATTTACAGTTTGTATGTACTTTGTTTTTGGACTGAATTTCCTCCACTTAAAGACTGTTCTTGGGAGAGTTTTTTTCTCCAGCCGAAGGTAACTTGGACATTGGGGGAAAAGTTGGAGGTACTAAAGGGACTCTTCTTACTTATGTGACTGTGTCGCCTTTGTGCCACACCCCAGGTCATCACAATATCAATTTAATAAATAAAATAAGGTTCTCCTACAGCTATCCGTGTCAGATAAAGAAATGCTGGTAAAATCCCAAGGGGTTACATCTTGGGATAACGTCCACCCAAGGCTGCCCTGAGCCAGGGACTGCATGAGGCCTCGCATACCTTTTCTCGCAGGAGACGCTATCGATATCCATGCTCTGGGACCGGGAAAGAGACTGGGACTGCGTTTCGAGGCTGTTGGAGGGCGAGCTGCTGAGCGAACTCACACCTTCGCTGCTCTGACTGCGGTGGGCAACACCTTCAGGAAAGAGGACAGGAAGGAATTTAGTCGATTCCCTTCCCAGCGTGTGCCCATGTGCACAAGCCTGCAGCTGGAAGTTGGGGGAAAAACAAGTTTACACGATAATCCGTTCCCTAAAAGTCTGTAGAGATTCTCAGTCAACCAGGTAGTGGTTGTCCCAAAGGTGCTTTTTTCAGGAGGTAACTGGACTTTGAGTTGTTTTTTTCTTTTGGAGATATTTTGCTTCTCATGCAAGAAACTTCTTCAACTTTGACAGAACAGTGGGGAACGGAAGGATTTATATTCCTTGCAGGCAGCTAGTCATTTGCATCCTTTTTGAGGGTTGTTGAGACCACTTGGAGGTTTATCTGTGTCCTCAGGGTCACCTGAGTAGTGCTTTAGATAAATCTCCAAGTGCTTCAAATCTTGCAAAGTTTCTGATGGGTGGCCTTTACTACCCAGAATTCCCTAGCTTGCCAAGACCGTTGCTGAGAATTCTGGGAGTCCATTCTTCTGAACCTTATCAAAATTAAGAAGCACCACTAGAAATTCAAGGAAAAGGATTTATGTTCTCCACTATACTTCCCCCGTTTTCCAGTTTTTACCCTTCCAGCCAATTCCCGTGAATTAACTTGATGCTGATGCAAATGTTTTAAGTTTAAAGTGTAAAGAAACCAGAAATCCAAGTTCAAATAGAATGCCAGCATGTATTTTAAAATAAAAAAATCTTGTTCTTCTCACATAAACCAAGGGTTTTCTGGGTCAACCAACCATCCCAATACAGCATCCCTCAATTGTATCACTCTGCTATCCATCATCCCCAATCAGTTCGGTTATTTTGACAACATTGGGAACTGTAGGATGGCCAAGGTATAAAACGAAACTTTAAATACTGCCTAATTGTCTTCTCTTGCCTCGGAGCTTCTTAGAATCTCAGTGACCAAAGTGGCATCAAAGCCTTTGTAAATAATAATAATAAAAAAAATGATTTAATGTGCCACCGAAACTATTTTTAAACCCGGTGGGAACAACTTGGCTTTAACAGGTCACACAGCACATTTAAGAGCATTAATAAGATAAAAGAAACCAACCTTCTTTCTCATTCGGTGTCACATCCCAATTAATCAAGCACTTAAAATGTTTTAGCTCTGGAATGAACAGTATGTATGTGTGCGACATTCACACAAACACACACACCCCTCAGTAATTTGTCATGAAAGCAATTTTCGCTCCCCACCCCCCAAACTCTTTCTAAATATGTTTCTCTCCTCTCGGTAAACATGAACCTGACATTCCCAGATGGTCAAACCGATTTAAGGCCAAACCAAGGGAGAAGCTGCCCACAGAGAAATCTCGATTGTTATTATCTCCTCTCAATGACAAGGCCAATCTGCTGAATGGCTGCTTAAGCAGGCAGCAAGAGGGAGGGAGGGAGGGAGGGAAGGAGGAGGAGGCAGCCGCATGACGGTTTGGCTTGCCTGGCTAAGCAGCCACTTCCTTCACCTTCAAGGCCAGCTGTTCTGCAAGCTACAGCAATCTCTATGGGAGAGTATGTAGTTGTCAAAAGCAGCCAGGTTACCCCCACTCTCATTTTCAGAAGATGCTTCAAAGATGGCTTGTAGGGTTCCATTTTAGTTTTGAAATAAGCCTGTCAAACCCTGTGGGGTTTGCCATACTGGGAGAGGTGATGGAGGTGTAGACCGGGGGGCTACAGCGGTGTGCCGACGAATGCTGCGGATCAGTTCTGTGACGGGGAGGCACTAGGCAAACGGCTCCGAAGCACCAGTGGTAGGCCAATGATCGGCTGATTGATGCAGCATCAGCAATGGGCCAATGATCAGCTGTTCCGGCCTGCAGACCGGCCCGGCGGCGAGCAATCGGCTGACCCAAGGCACAGCTGGCCGTGGGACATGGACAGCACCGGTGGAAGGGCGTGGCTCGTCTGGATATAATGCACTGGGAGGTGGATGCTCCCAGCGCTGACTTTACCATCTTTGATGAATTTTTCTTTTGGAACTCATTGCATGCTAGAGTCTGGCTAAATAAATCCAGTTAGCCTCCATATGAGTGGCGTCTTAATACTGGTTTAAGTCCAGACCTCAGATCCTTGAGAAAGCCATTATAGGCTGTAAAATCTGGTGACTGCAGAGGACAATGCTCAAACCCAGCGAGGACTGGATTTCATTTCTTTAAACTTCCTTGTTCGCTCCCACGAAACGACAAGAAAGAATGGCAGCTTCCTTACGGCTCTTAACCCAATTCACATGTCCCAACACTGGCCTTGCGGGAAAAGCCATGAACAAAGGAAAACTGGCATGGTTTGTCTCACCCCAAATCATCCTAAAGAATTGGCATTAAGCTGGCAGTGGCTTACCTGACGCACCGATTGGCGAGGTAGCAGGGGTCATAGTGTGAACATTGAGCCCAAGGTTGTGGGGTGCCCCTGAAGACGGTGCTGGGACCGGCTGCCCTGGGGGGCTCTCCCTCTGCGGAGACGTAAGCGGGGTGGTGGGCTGGGAAGAAGGTCCGCCAGCAAGTCGGGCCAGGCGCCTCCGACGGATCTGCATAACAACCAGGACACTGTGAGTTACAAAGAGCCTTCATGGCGCAGTGGTTAGAGTGCAGTTCTGCAGGCTACTTCTATCAACTGCTGGCTGCCTGCAATCTGGCAGTTCAAATCTCACCAGGTTCAAAGTTGACAGCCTTCCATCCTTCCGAGGTGGGTCAAATGAGGACCTAGATTGTTGGGGGCAAAAGGCTGACTCTGTAAACTGCTTAGAGAGGGCTGTAAAGCACTGTGAAGCGATAAATAAGTGCTATTGTTATTTTCTTTCCTTCTTCCCTCCCTCCTTCCTTCATTCCCAGTGGTTAGAATGCAGCATTGCAAGTTAACTCTGCCCACTGCCAGCAGTTTGATCCTGACCGACTGGTTCAAGGTTGACTCATCCTTCCAAGGAGGGTAAAATGAGGACCCAAATTGTTGCGGGCAATAGGCTGACTCTGTAAACCACTTAGAGAGGGCTGTAACGGCACTGTAAAGCTGTATATAAGTCTAAGTGCTATTGCTACTGGATTTCAGCCCTTCAGAGTTCCAGAAGGTCTTGAACAATGTTTACCTCAGCTTTCAAAAACAGACCTGATGACCAGGGTAGAAGATCAAAGGCAGAATGTTTAACAAGAATTCCAAATTCAGGAAGTCATCCACATCTTGCCAAATAGCTTCGTCCCACATCAAACCATACACGCCAATGGTTCAGTGACGGGCTGTCACTGGGAAGGAGCCACTTTCATTCCAACAAATTCTTAACCAGGCACCACCACCCGTCTCCCCCTCCCCTTCCCCGAGAGAATCGCAAACAACATTTTCCCGGAAATGGATACAGCGCACGAGGAAAACATGTTGCGGTGTTCATTCCACGGCTCAGAGGAAGCTCTATTATTAGCAACCGGGCCAGATCCTCCCTACAACCTTACGTAACAAGTCCAACCCATCCTGCTCTCATCTTTTGAACCTGAAGAATGTCTCCTGAGGAAGGCTCCCTCTCTCCCCCATCCTTGCAAGGGGCCAAAGCTCCTTCTTAAAACTCCTCTTCGCCCACATTACCCGACACCCTAAAAAGCGGGTGAAAGGTTCTTCAAAACTTTCACAACGAAAGCTGTTCTTTCCATCCTGCAAGACCTAAATTGAACAGGTTAAAGTCCACCTCCCCGGGTTGAAGGAAGCTGAGGTCATTACAGGTAGCCTTCCACTTACAACCATTCGTGACCATTCGAAGTTACAACAGCGTTGAAAAAGTGACGAGGGATCGTTTTTCACTCTTACTATTGCGGCATCCCCAAGGTCAGGGGATCAAAATTCAGACGCTTGGCAGCTGACAGATGTTTATTGACGGTCGCAGTGCCCCAGGGTCAGGTTCTGACAAGCAAAATCAGTAGGGGAGCCAACTTCACTGAACGGCTACTTTAACGACTCCAGCGACTGACTTAGCTGTGGCCAGGAAGGTCGTAAAATGGGGGCAAAACTCCCTCAACAAGTGTGCCACTTAGCAACAGAAAGGACTACCTGTATGTAAATTTCATTATTTCTGGAATAATAACGGAAAGGACGCTCTGTGATGGTTGGCAACGTTTAACATGAAGTTATGGACTTGTAGTGTTTTGTCTACAACAGCGGTCTCCAAACTTGGAGACTTTAAGTGCTTTGCTGGCTGAGGAATTCTGGGAGTTGAAGTCCACAGGTCTTAAAGTTGCCAAGTTTGGGGCCCCCTGTTCTACAGGAAGAAGACACAACTTTGAACGACTCCAGAGAAAAAGAGGCTTATAAGCCCATTGCAGGAAGCACAGAAAAGTACATGATGAAAAGATTCGGCCGCTGACCAAAAATGTAGGTCAGGGTACTTTGTTTTAATCTGAGAGTCAGTGAAAGCTGACTCAACTCATAGAAATTAGGCTGAAATTATTATTTTCCTGCAAAGAATTGTCTGTCTTGAATAAAGGTCTGCTGCACTTGAGGCTGAATATTTCTTGGCCAGAAAAAAAGGTTGAAAATAAAAAAGAAAAGAGTCTCATCCTTGGCCAAATCACGGGAATGGCTAATCCAATGATTCCTAATCTTTGCAAGGTCCGGATATATGACCTTCAACGGCCCACTCTTATTGAGTACACTCAGTACTAGTCATGCTGGGGAAGTTATGAGAGTCCATACATCTGGAAGTTGTCCAAAACTCACAAACGGTCTTCGGAACTTTGGGCAAGTGCTTCTCCAGCTCAACTTGGAACCACCAGGTGTCTACATACAAAGTAGATAAAGGTAAAGATTCCCTTCGCGCATGTGTGCTAGTCGTTTCTGGCTCTAGGGGGCTGGTGCTCATCTCCATTACAAAGCCGAAGGAAACGCTGTTTCCCGTCCCACCAAAATAGGGGTCCCTATTTTTCTACTTGCATTTTTTTTTTTACGTGCTTTCGAATTGCTAGGTTGGCAGAAGCTGGAACCAGTTAACGGGAGCTCACTCCGTGACGTGGCGCTAGGGATGTCAAACCGTTGGAACTGCCAACCTTTCTGATCGACAAGATCAGCGTCTCAAGCCACTGAGCCACCCCATCCCTGTGGTGGGGGCAAAGTAGGAGTCAACCATAAAGCCCGAGAGATGGCAACGAGGGATATTGCTTCAATAGGAGTAAGACGGTCATTCATCCATCTCTAGGAGGAGATTACCAAGATTACCAATTGGTGACACAATATAAAGATGGGCAGGAAGCACTCGGGGCTTACCCACAGGAAGTAATGAAGTGGGACCAATCATGGCTGAGAAAGGTGCTATTATTCCACCTACAAGCAGAGGCATTATTACTGAAAGGACTAACCCATAGCTTAGTCTTTTACCCAGTCAACTTAATTAGCTACTCTTATTTATTATTTAAAGCACATCTCTTCTTTCTCGCCTCAAAGGCTCCCAGGGTGACTGACCTTTATAATTAAAACTAGACTGGTCATTCAAAAAGGCATTGTACAGAAAGCAAAAAAAAGGATGGAAAAGTGGGGGAAAGGTGCGCCAGATATTGTCGTATTTACAACAGACGTTATGCCCATTTGCAAACCTAGATGGGCTGATTTGCACTGAGAAACAAAGTTCTACCCGCCCACCCCACTCCCGGTCAAGTTTCAGGTACCCTGAAAGACTGCAAAAGCAGGACTGGTTTGATGCAGTTTCCCATTAAAAAGAACTCCAAAACCTCCAGGTAATGTCAAAAAATAAGATTCAAGTTCCAATAAAGGAGAATGTTTGTAGCTCAAGGTTGAAATGAGGAGTCCTTGGCGCTCTCTGGGCTTGTTTGTTTTCTTGCAGACATTTCATGACCCTAACTAGGTCACATCATGAGTGCTACTAGGAAGGAAGGAAGGAAATGTATTGCTCGGGGTTGACATGAGGGGTCCTTGGTGCTCTCTGAGCTTGTCTTCTTGCAGATGTTTCATTACCCTGTGTAACATCTGCACCCTAGTTAGGGTAATGAAACATCTGCAAGAAGACAAGCTCAGAGAGCACCAAGGACCCCCTGAAGATTCAAGTTCTCTGCACTCAGGAAAGAATTATAAATCGAATAATGTAATCAAACCAGGCTTTCTATCCAAGCTTCCCAATATACTCAGAAAGTGCCAGGCCAAAAGGGACCGCAAGAGAAAGTGTTTCCCTCCCCTCTCAAGGGCTGGCATAACAACAGACCTTTCTTCTCATTCCATTCCTCCCCAGGCCCTTTGTTCCCTTGGCTTCCTGTCTGCCCCCAGGATGCTTTCACGCTGCTGATGTACTCCATTCGCCAGCAATAAACTAGCTTTCTTCTCCGGTGGCTATCTAGAGTCCCAAAAGTGAGGTGGACAGCCAGTGGAAATCGAATAAGCAAACTATCGCTTGCTTGCAGGCCCTGTTTAAACATTGTCTGAGGCTGCACATAAAATGCATTATGGTTTAGCATAAAGCATGCCCAGAGGAAAAAAATAATAATACAAGCGACCCTATTTAAGTAGGCCAACCTGAGATGCGGAATAGGTCTTGCAACCTGAGTTAGAATCCCCCCACAAATCTGCTATTCTAATTCCAATCAGGATGTGCCACCATTCCTCCCTTTAAGCGATCCCGTCTTTTTTTCCCCCTCTTCCATGTCTCTGTTGGAAGGGTGGCCTTGCCTGCCCACCCTTCTACAGCAGAGAGCAAGTACTTGGCAATGGGCCCCATGTGCAGAGGTAGGTTCTTACTGAAACAGCAAATGCTTGGTAAATTATTACCTTCCTCCAACCAGCACCGCGTCATCTTGATGCTTTGGAAGCCGTGGAATGACTTTGCATAAAGATGCCTGTTGTTGCAATCTGATCTCCCCAATGGAAAGATGATACAACCCAGCATATTGAAGGAACAGTGGGGAGGGAGAGTTGGGAGAAAACTAAAGGTGTTCTTTTGAAGCTGACCACGACGGCCAGGTCCTATACAAGAGGAGTACCAATCATTTCCAGGCTGAACACCCAGCACAAATCCCTTCCTGTTTACTTACTTTTCCCTTCTATGATAGTCCTGAACATTGCTACCTTCCCCCCCCAGGGAGGTTCCCTCAAGTCACCATGATGAGGTAATCATGATGTAGTTCCAGATGGTAGGGCAGGAATTCCACCACTCAGATATATACGCCCCTGTGTGGCATCTGTAATTCCATGGGCCAATTTTGTATTTGGAAACAAATAATTCTTAAGCACCACCTGCATCGGGCACAGAGTATCCCAAACAGAAATAATCCTGGCTTCAAGGGTACCTAGCAAAGGTTGATCTAACCTACTTTTGGAGGATCTTCCTAAGAAATCTTTTACTTAGCTGGAAAATATCTCCTCCTGCAACCAAGATGCGTAACAAACAACCTTGAGAGAGCTTGGAATAGAGCCCCACTGCATCTCCATCCAGAAGGCCAACTAGAATGCTGATAAATGTAAAGACAAATTAAAATCTCTATTTATGGCAACTTCTTTCTGGTCAATGATTACACACTGGTTATTGTGCCTATAAACCAAAGGTCTTCAAACTTGACAGCTTTAAGACTTGTGGACTTCAACTCCCAGAATTCCTCCTCCAGTCCACATTAGCTCAGGAATTCTGGGATTTGAAGTCCACAAGTCCTAAACTTGCCAAGTTTGAAGACCCTTGGTATAAACAATTGCAGACGGATTTTAGTTGGTTTCAAGTAGCCTTTTTAAACTAATAGTCAAGAAGGTTTGACATGTTTGGTTCCTGTTCCACAACAGCAGATCCACCCACTGACTTCTCACTGTTTAGTTTACAGAGGAGTAGTTGGGTGGGAGAGAATTACTAGAATCAACTCACTTGTTTCCAATTACTTACTGTATTCCCAGCCCAAATGTGATACCATTTTCAAAGCAGGACACTCAATATTCCTAAAGTGCTCCTAGGTTTTTACTTTTGCAGCTTAGCATAGTGAATACTTCCTTGCTAACTAGGATGAACCATCAGCAAACACAGGTAAACATGCTGTAAATTGTTCCATTTAACAACCACACACAGAGTTAAGTGCTCACAAAATACCGCTTATTAGTTTAGATAGCAGGATTTATAGGAATATGCCGCAAACTAACACTATTTTTCCAGCTATCCAGTCCCATATCTTTTAATAATTTCCCTGTCCAGAGCTTCCACCAAAAGGTTGGGCATACCAAGATTAGTACAGTTGGTCCTTGATTTATGACAATTGAGCCAGAAACCTCTGTTGCTAAGTGAGACATTTGTTAAGTGAGTTTTGCCTCATTTTAAGGCCTTTCTTCCCACAGTTAAGTGAATCACTGCATTTGTTAAACTAGTAACATAGTTAAGTGAATCTGGCTTCCCCATTGATTTTTCTTCTCTAGTTACAAAATATGAGTCAATTTCCAAGTCTGAATTGTGATCACATGACCCTGGCGATGCTATAACGGTTGTGTGAAAAATCGGTTATAAGTAACCTTTTTTAGTGCTTTTGTAACTTCAGTTACTAAACAAACTGTTGTAAGTCAAGGACTATCTGTATTTAAACTGGATTGCCTTCAAAACATAGTTTGAACTGAGCTTAGACACCATAGCTTGGAAGCCATTATAGTTCATGGTTATAGACCAATCCTACAATCAAAGGTAAGGATTGCAGCCTGTGATCTGGTCTATTGAACTAAGTTTCCTATGAATCCAAGATTTTCACCCTTTGGGGGAAAAACCCCACACACCTTTGATCACAGTTCCTAAATCACCTTTCTCCAGCCAGATGCCTTTTGGTTGGGAGTCATGGAAGCTTAAATCCAGTTTATCTCAAAGGAATCAAGTTAGAGAAGCTTTCCTAAACCACGGAATTTACTTGCACATCTTCACGCTACTAGTTATTCCACTGTTTGATTCTGATTTCACCTAACATTTCAGTACTGTGCTTTTTCTTTCTGAAAGTGTGAATTCTAGTTTTAAATTGTTTTAGGAATTTATTCTAAGACTCACTAAGATGAAAACTACATATGGAAGTTTATTCATGTGAGGAAAGTTTTCCTTCTTAGAACAGATAAGGTAAAATTTTGTTATGCTCTTCACCTTGTCTTATGTTAGACTAGTTCATCACCCAGAAACACAAATGTATTAAAAATGTCCAACAGATGATCAATTAGACCTAAATGTTTTTTAGATAAGATTTTCAACATGTTTTAATTGGCAACATACACATTTCCATTATAGAAGAGGGGAAGAAAAGATTAGGAAGGTTTAGAATGAAGAGAAATGGAGAAAACATATACTACAACATACTGCCTTCCCTGCTTAGTTGCAGTCATTTTAAAATATTTTATAAGGCTGAGCACAACATACTAAGCCTGAATAAAATAAAGGACATCCTTTAAGACAGGAAATACTCTCAAGAACACCTCACTCTCTTAATAACCAACAACCTCCTAGTAATGTAATAGTAATGTAACCTGTCACATGGTGGTATTTAAGTTCATTTGAAAAAAAAAGTTAATTTAATATTTTCACATATGCAGACCTGTTAATGTAACTTACACATCCTACCTTCCTGGCTGTCAGCTCAGACTGGGACTCTCAAAAGTTACAAAGATTTACAACAGACCACAAAAGGGGGGGGGGGATTCAAGAGTCTTCTAAGCTCTCTAACATTTTTGTCCTATCTCCCTTAAAACCCACCTTTAAAATAGCAATGAAAAACCCTGAAAATACCTGCCTTTAAAAAAAATAATAACTGGTTACCGTCAAACTTGGTTTTTGAACAGAAATCAATTCTAAAATCTTGAATTATAAGTGAGCAGGTACCAAAAAAAAGGAGAAATTATTAGGACAACCCCACCAATTTTATCCCAATGTACAGAACCTTCACTTCTCCTGCCCAACTCTTGTACCTAAAAGGTCTACACAAAGCACCTTCAGTACAACCAGACAAACACACATTTCCTGGTTATCATCTGCCCCCACCACCACACACACAAACAAAACTTACCTCATCGGCACTCAACTCCTCCATAGTTTTCCTCTTAATGGTGGAAGGCGGTTGGGGGAGGAAGGCTCCGCTGCTTCCCTCGAGGGAGGTGCTTGGATGGATGGATGGAGGAGGAGGAGGAAATGGCTTTCGGTTAACAACCCCTGTCCTGGTCGCTGCCTCTTTCCCTAAGGAGCTCTCAGAAGTGCATAGTCAGAGGCGAAGAGCAACCCCGTCCGTCCCCCTCTACCCACTCCGGATAGATAGATCTGCCTTAGGGTCCTTCCTCCCAGCTTCGTCTCGCCTGAACTGCATCCACCGCCCGCCCTCCAAGCCGGTTTGCTCCTCCTCCTCCAGACCCTGCTCGGTTATCTAAACTGGTCCCCACTCCAATCCCGGGGTTTAGGAGCGCCCTACGGCCGCCACCCTCACAAGGCTCCCGTCCTTCCCTTCACATCCAGCGCGCCTTCCTCCCGGCGGCCTATTTTAGATTGCCGGGGCTGAAGCCCTACCTGTCCTGAGGCCCCACCTGTGTAGAGACCACACACACACACACACTGGGCTGCTCCCTCACTCCTCTTCGGGGGTCCCAAGGGAGCCGCTGGGCCTCGGGCCTTCCCACCGCTGCTTCTCCCCCGAGCGCAGGCTGCCTTGTAGATGCGCCAGCAGGCCCGGGGGTCCCATAGGGAGCCTTCCCCTCGCCTTCCCGTCCTCACCAGGCCCTCCTCGGCGACCCTCTGACGGGCAGGCCCACTCGGTTCCCCCACCTCCTTGGGCCTGAGGAAGCCCCCCCACTTTTGGAAGCTCCCCCTGGCCCCGTGTTAGGCGGGCGGGGAGGCAACGCTCACCGGCTTAAAGGCCCCGCGCCTCCCAACTCCCGCCCACGCGTGACCGCCGGAGCCCCACTTTTCCCCTCAGCCGCTGCCTCCCCACACGGAGATTATTCATCAAAACAAGAAGGCGGCGGCGGCCATCTTGGCGTCGGATCACGTGACCTCCGCTCCGCCGCGCTGTGCGTGAGTGGCGCCCGAGGCTCAGGGACGCATGCGCGGGCCTCGCAAGACCGCGATAAGATGGGAAGCCAGGTCCGGGAGGAGGAGGAGGAGGAGGAGGTGGAGCCCCACTATCTGACACCCAGGAATGATGGGCAGCATTGGCCAATAGCAGCAAGGAAAAAGGACCTTCCCACTGGATTATAAGCGAACATCGGTTCGGGGGTTAGCCAATGAGAAGAAAAAGGAGGTGGGGGAAAAAAAAGAGCCCGTCCTCTCTGTCGCCTTACGCCAGGCTGAATCCAAAGCAAGCTACCGTAACGCGGGGCAGTGGGCGGGGCTTGTTGGGGCCTGCGCCATAGCGACAGGTGGAGGGCCAAGGGCGGGGGGGGGGAGAGGGCGGAGCCAAAATGGCGCTAAAATCAAAAGCTGTCAAAATTAAATGGAGCTTGTTAAATGAAACAAATATAAAATAGGAATAAAAGCGACACAAAAGCAGACGATTTCTTCTTGTATCGTGTAATGTGATCATTAATTTGCCATCATGGTGAATGGCACATTTCAAGATTTTTTTAAAAAAGCTTTAGAAAGAGGCTGCGTTCACCATGCACACCTTATGTTCCATTTTCTAGATCTGTACCACAAATGAGTTCATCTTAAAGTGGAAAATAGATCGAGTTGTTTTTTACTTCCATGGGTTTTAAAAAGCATTGACACTATTAAACTAATTTACTATCAAAGGTTTGGGGTGGGGACAAAAAATAATTTTAAACAATATAAATCACAGAATAACAGACTAGAAGGAGAAGGAGTGTCTCCCCTCCACTCACAAGGCAAAGGGAAAAATACTTTCGGGGGGGTGCCTGACCTGCTTTGAAACTAATACATTTTTGGGGTGCTCATGGCCCCCATATGCACTTGCAAGGAAACTAATTGGCGGTGCAGTTCAAATTCTGGCAGTTACACAGCACAACACACCAAGCTCAATTCAGGTTCAGGTTCATCCTAAACCTGGTTAATTCAATATCTAGGTTAAGAGTCGTGTGAATAAGGCCAGATCCTGCTCTCTAGCGCATTTCAGACAAAGGAGCAGAGCAGTGTTAAATAATCCACAGGTAGCAAAAAATCATGAGGACTTTTTCCAACTGATAATATCAAGCATCCAGGGGGTTTGTGACCTGGGTCCAGATTTCTACCCTGTTTGGAAATTCTCCTGCAAGTGGGAAATTGCATGTGGGATGCCTCCTCCCAACAAAAGGAAGAAGCCAACCTGGTTGGAAAGGCACCTATAACATGCTAAGCCAGCAATCATGGTTTACAAAGTGAAAATTGGGGTCAGATATTCAGATAACATGCAAAACCAGAGAGGAAAATGCAGGCACACCCTACCACATCTTAATGTATTGTGTGAAGGGAGTCAAGTTCAGCACCAGGGTTCCCCCATCCAATCCAGCCGGACAGCCGTAAAGTACCCCCCAAGGAAGACATTTTGGGACAAGCAAGTGGCATCATAGAGACTAGAAACCCCAGGTTGCATTATGCAATATGTTTAATGAATGTAACAGCCGCCTTTATTTGCTCTTGGAATCCTTAAGAGCATTTCCAATAATGGAGAAAATACTGAAGCTTCCACATTGTTGTTGACTTGAAGTGAAAAGAGGTCTTGAAGATGCCTTGCACAGCTTTCCTTCTGAAGAGTTCTGTTTGAGAATCATGCTCGCTTGAAAACTTGCGTGCTTGTCTGGCCTTCGCAACGGAGCTCCTGCGCATAAAGACAGCCATACGGTACTGAGGCCTCAATGCTGGGAACCCAACTTGGAGCTACCTTAGCCAGGATGGGTTGCAGATTAGCCCCTGACATCTCAAACCCTCCCCACAATCCAGCTCGCCTCCCCTGCTTAACTAAAGCCAAACTAGGATAATAATAATAAAAAAACTGGCTCGTTTCAAGCCTTACATCAGCATCCTCAATATCATTTGGCTTACTTTCCTCTGCTTCCATTTTACATTATTTGGGTATAATGGACAGGTTCGCAATTGCCTGCGGGATGGTTCATTATGTTAATTTCTGTTTAAGCATTAACAAAACAAGCCACAATTGCTTGGGTTTAAGGCCACAGGGCCACAGTTAAACTGGAAAAAAACTAGATTAAATGCACATTTTGTGTCCTGAGCTTGTGAAACAATATTTGCGGTTTCTTCATAGAGATGCTTTAGTTTAGCTCATGCTTCACGGGATATTTAAGAGGGCTGGATTCCTTCCCAATCCTGGGCTGACTATCATTTTCTAGATCAATTCAAGGTAATCCACTGAAAGATTTCATACCAAATACAGCTCATCTCCTTCAATCCAGTGGGACCAGCCTCTGTTTTTCTTTTCTCCATTCTGGGTGCAGACAAGTTTATCATTGTCCCAAATCACCACACTCTGCATTGGAAGAGAATAGTATTGAATATTTTAAACCCCAACAAATTAGTTTATTTAAGATAGTGTGGATGGAGGCATTATAAACAGATTTCTAAAACACATTTTAGCCGACATTTTCTACCAATGAAGGCTTCTTGAAACATTTTCAATTACTGTGATAATGACCCTTTAAGAACTCTGGGTCAAGCTAAGAACCACAGAGCCAATTAATTCCTTCCTCTAAAAAACAAAATCCAGGAGAATAGGAATTCAGTTTTATTTATATTTCATACTTCTCCATGAGAAAGACCAACTGATCCTATTAAATCAGTTATTAATATTTAATAAGCTGCAGCCTTTTTGCAATGCAAACTGATGTGCTCATAAATCTATTAAAGTAATAAAAAAAATAACCTTCAGCTAAGGAGGTTGAAAGAATTTGGTCTAGTAACATGAAGAAATGTTTACTATGATTTTGACAATTCTCGGCATATAAAAATCAGACCAAACATTGTCAATACTTTCAAAAGCCCCAAGGAAAAAGTTTTTGAAACACATTGAAATATTTAAAAATATGTTCAGTCAATGCTTATTGCCAAAAATGTTCATTTAAAGTTTTAAAGGTATGGTTTACTTACTCTGCATTTACGGTTGTCCAATCCTTTGCCATCTTCATCGAACTCCTCTCCAATTTTGAACTCAACAAAATAGTTTCTAAAAGTGCTTGTTGTCCTGATAGAAAAGAAATCCTTTTCCTGTTTTATGACCTTCTGGGGCTTCAACAAGTTTGCTATCTTGCGAGTTGCAAAATCTATACCTTTGCAGGGCAAAAAATTACAAATGGGAGTTAAAACAATCTGTCATTACATTAAATGAATGCTGCCTTTCTTGATAGTAGCCAGGTTAACATTATGCATGTTTCATACCAGTGCCTCAGTTCCTCAATTCAAATCAGGCAGAATAACAGAGTTGGAAGGAACTTTGGAGGTCTTCTAGTCCAACCCCAAAAGAGACCCCATACCATTTCAGACAAATGTTTAAATATTTCAGCCCCTCAAATATTGGAACACTGCTATGTCTCCTAGTCTAGACATACCCAATTCCTTCTACCGTTCTTCATACATTTTAGCCTTGGGGCCCTTAATTATCCTTGTTGCCCTTCTCTGTGCTCTTTCCAGAGCCTCAAAATCTTTTTTATAATGGGGTAACCAAATCTGAATGCAGTATTCTTACTAAGGCTCTTACTAAGGCTTTATAAAGCGGTACTAGAACTTCACATGTTCTTGACTCTATCCCTCTGTTAATGCAGTTTAGGATTGCATTGGCTTTTTCGGCTGCTGCCACACAGTGCAAAACTCAGATTTAAAGTTTCATTCAAAAAAAACAAGGCACCTCATTAGAGGTTACTCCCAAATATGACTTTGCACACACAAAAGAAAAAAAATGGGAAGAATGGCAAAGTTATGGCAGCTTAAGATAAATCTAACCATTGATCTTAAATTTATATCTATAAAGATAGATCAAGTAGCATTTCTGTTAAGTGTCCTAGCGTGGTTTTGGCTTAGATAAGTGCTTCTCAAGATTATTTTTCCCTTAGTACCAAAACTATCCTTATTTAAATATCCACGGTTCTTATTAGTATTGGGTTTGTATCATTACTCAAAGGGGAAAAAAACCACTTTCATCCAATTTGGGGTATTTTACCCAAGTTTGGGAATACTGGCTAAGACAGTATGTACTGAATCTAACATTACAATTTAACCTTGATTCATGGCTTGACATGGTTTGCCAAACAGACCAGTGTGGTTTACTCAACAAGACAGTTTAAATATGGAGTAATATCAAAGTTACACCACTACTAGACAAATAATAATTTATGACCATTTTCCACACTTACGACCATATAGCATGCTACGTGATCAGCATGCACGTGGGGATTTAGCCCCGTGCAAGCAAAAGAAACTGTAGTAAGCTATTTAAGCATTTGAACATGAATCTGAGGCAAAGTTTAAGATATAAAGAATATTTTGTTCATTGCCTAATTCTACTTCAACCAAGTAAAAAACCAGTGCAAATTCCGGGTTAAATCCTGCAATATATAAGCCCCCTAGTGTGAAAGCAAAGGCAAAACAAAACTTCAAAGAGATAACTTTCTCTTTGAAGGCTGCCGTCACCAAATAAGCATCTTGAAGAGTTCAACCAATAAATCTTAAAAGCTCTGTACTTGCCTAAAGCCAACATATAGCCTTCAAAATTCTCAGACCGGACAAAATTCCAGGTACCATTGAAGTCCACCGACATGTTCTGAAGAGAGGGAGCACCTGAGATGAACACCAAACTAAAAAGGTCCAAGGATGCAAATGAGCAGCTCTCATTTCCACCCTGTGCCTTCTTTATATAAGGGGAAGTGGGAAGGACTTACAATAGGAGGTGGGATCGGTTGCTGTTGGGCCCCTAGGGATAAAGTTCAGGTCAGCTCTAACCCAGGGTGTAGAGCTAAAGTAACTGTTTCATGAGTCACAGGCACAACAAAATTGAAGACCAGAGTTTTTGTTGGAGTTTATTTAAAGATCCACGAGGCACAATATAGATAGCTCTTGACTTTACGACAATTTGAGCGCCAAATTTATGTTGGTAGGCGAGATAGTTGTTAAGTAGGCTTTGCTCCGCTTTAAGACCTTTCTTGCCTCTATTGTTAAGTGAACTGCTGCAGTTAGTAAGTTAGTAACACGGTTAAGTCAGTCTGGCTTCCCCGTGGACTTTGCCGGTCAGAAGGTTGGAAAAGGGACTCTGGGACTCTGCAACTGTCATAAATACAAGCCATGATGTAATATGAATGTAAACTTAAATCTAAGAGGAAAAGACTGTAGATATTGTGCACAAGAAATATGTACCAACCGACACACTGCAGAATTGAAAGTTTTATTTATTGCTTTATGTTTGTTTGTTTGTTGTTAAAAATAAAAACTTTTAAAAAAATACAAGCCGAGAGTCCAAATTCTGATCACGTAGCGTGCTATAATGGTCGTAAGTGTGGAAAATGGTCATAAATTATTATTTTTCTAGTACTGTTGTAACTTTGAACAGTCACTAAATGAACGTTGTAAGTCATGTCTGTCCTGGAGCTTAACCAATTTATAAATTTATCTTCCTCTCGGATTATTTTATATTCATCCAAGATGGTCACCCGCTTGCGTTTTTGGCAGTGAATTATGGAAGTAGGTATACACCAAAGGGTTGTGCAGTGTGGTAAACTTGTAAGCCTGGTGCGTGAAGATTAGTCCCCTGGCACAATCTGAAATGAAGACATCTATTTCTAGAAGTCCCCTTGGATTCCTACCCGAGGGGTTTCTCTGCCAAAGATCCTTGAAAGATCCTTGGAAACACCCAAAGATCAGAATGGAGGGGACATCAAACTGCATGAGTAGATTTTGATCCAGCTAAGTGAACCTCCTCCGTCCATTCTTATTAGCAAGATTATTTGGCAAAGGAACCGTTTGTTCGGTAGCAATATATCTCTAAGTATCTGGGGATTTTATAAGAGGGCAAAAGCAAGAGGGACTCGGTGAATCAGTGGCTAAGACGCTGAGCTGGTCAATGAGAAAGATCGGCAGTTCGGCGGTTCGAATCCCTAGCGTCGCGGAAGGGAGTGAGCTCCCATTACCCGTCCCAGCTTCTGCCAACCTAGCAGTTCGAAAGCATGTAAAAAAAAACGCAAGTAGAAAAATAGGGACAACTTTGGTGGGAAGGGAACAGCGTTCCGTGCGCCTTTGGTGTTTAGTCATGTTGGTCACATGACCACAGAGACGTCTTCAGACAGCGCTGGCTCTTCTAGATGAGCACCGCCCCCTAGAGCCGGAAACGACTAGCGTGTAAAGGGGAACCTTTACCTTTAAAAGCATCTGTTCTCACACGCCCCTGGTTAGGGGCTCCCCAAAGATAAAGTGAGCGAAAGAGGCTGCTAGACTTCATAAAGCAATTGACAAGGACAGAGGTCAGTGCGACCGTCTACACAGCGTGCCTCATAACTCAGTTTTGTTGCATAAAGGAGGAATGACGCAACCGCTAACCTCTGCTCTGGAATACATGGCTGCCAAAGTTTGCAATCAGTCTTTCTCTCTCTCTCTCTCTCTCTCCCCAGGGATTTTTAAATCTGTGGACGTAAAAGAGATTTCCTTTTGTTAACCCTGTTATATTGTTCTGGAAACATCTGCAAAAATACTTTGTGGTCAGTGAACTCTAAACACATTTCTGCAAACCATCCTGGGGCTGCCAAGCCAAATTTGCTTCTTTGTCTTTTGTTTCGGGGTCCTTTCTCCTCGTGGGGTTAACCCAAAGTGAACAATCGAATGGCACCGCCGGCTCTCTTTCAGGAGTTTGGGCCGGGCATTTAATCAAATCTTAACTGCCCTCCAGGAGCTCCCAGTTCTTTCTAACTGGAATATGAGCTTCCCATGGAGTCCAAACACACCCCTTGTCGAGAGAGAAACAGAAACTGGGCTCAGACACAGCCACAACTTATCACATAAATCATAATTGTGCGGCTGGCTTAACACACAGTGCTACAAAGCTTGTTTTATCAGTCGCAACCGGTTGCGTTCATTTGATCTGAGCCAAGAGACACCGGGATCCAGTGATCTTGGTGTCAGCTTTAGGTACAAACCTGCACAGGTAGCCCTTGACTGACGAGCACAACGGAGTCCCAAAATTTCTGTTGCTAAGCGAGACAGCTGTTGAGTTTTGCCCCCGTTTTTACGACCTCTCTGGCCATGGGTAAGTGAACCACTACAATTAAATTAGTAACACCGTGGCTTCCCCATGGCTTGTCAGAAAGTTGCAAAATGTGATCGCTTGACCCCAGGAGGCCGCGACCGTCATAAATGAGTCGGTTGCCAAGCGTCTGAATTTTGACCACGGATGCTGCAATGGTCGTAAGTGTGAAAAACAGTCATAAGCCCCCTTTTTTTCCGTCCACCCTAAGCTAAGGACCCCTTCGCAATCCCTGCAGAAAATGACAACACCGATTTGATTTCTGATCACATTTCACCACATTTATTATTATTTTTCCCATCCACAGAGAAGGGTATGTGTTCATTTTGTGGTACATTCAGATTGTGATTCTATTATCAAGTTCAGGATTTATGCACACACATTTTTACAAACAGCATTATGATCTTTAAGGGTAGGTTTTTGTAGAGGGGAGCAAAGTGCAGTTCTGTAGGACTTTTTTATTAACAGCTAAAATATGGAGAGAAAAAAAACACTCAAACATTTCAAAGGAAAATATCATATAGGCACACACAAACATCATATCTAATTTGTAAATAAAGAGAAAATAATCAGAAATGACAACAATGATGAGGGTAGGTTTTTATAAAGGTATTTCTTATTCCAGCATGTATTTTTTCTTTCACGCTAAACAGAACCTGTCACTGTCCTGTCAATCTTCACTCATCATAGCCGAGTTTGGGTTTTCTTTATTTCCTGTTATTCCTTTTTTCCCTTCTGCCCTATTTCCAGTAGTGTTTTTTTTTTAAATTCATATTACATGGTTGAATTTTAAAAAAATTCAAATTAGCTCCTTCCCTCTAGGGCAGAAATTTAAGCAGAAAAACGTATTGCTTGTTTCTTACTCCTAAATCAACAGTTCTCTGACTCAATCTAAGTAGGGCAGTGTTTTCCGAACATGGCAACGTTAAGATGAATGGACTTTTAACTCCCACAATTCCTTGAGACAGTCATGTTTCCTGGGGAATTCTGGGAGTTGAAATCCACCCATCTTAAAAACGCCAAGTTTGAAAAACCCTGAGTTAGGGGATGGGGAAAAAAAAAACATGGGATATATACAATGAGCTGCTGAGTGGAAACCACAGAAGACAAACCTGGTTTGGCAGTTTACAGAGATATAAAACCACTGTGGTCTGCCACTAGCCTGGCGGGATAGACCACCTTTGAACCGGTAAGGAGTTTTAGCTTCCTGATGGCCAAAATAAACCCATTGACACGATCAATCTGCATGGCTCACATGATTGCATGCTCTAACCATAATTTCAAAAAAAAAAAAAATCCATGCTTGTTGAAAACTGATATGTCACAGTGAAGGTTTGCCTAGTATTTGTTATCTGTGTGGGAAAGGGTGCTTGTTGTTTTTTTTTATTGTAGGCTTATTAACCATCCAACGCAGCTAAAATAAACCATGATAGACCTAGCATTTTAAAAAGTTACATTCTCAGGTCACCTTAGCAGACAAAGGTGGTTTCAAATGTCCACAGAGTTTAACAGTGATGGCTCATATTTACAACTAAATACCTTAGTGTGTTATTCGACGAGGCACTTAAAGTGGGATCACACCCAGACCCCGAACGGTGCATTTCAAGTGAGCCAGAGTACAGTACTAGGAAATCTGGCTGAGGTAGGACTCATCGGAGTAAAAATCTTTTTCTCTGAAGATATAGGCCTTCACATAAGTGTTTTTTTAGGGAAAGAATCAGGCCCATTTAATAGTACTCTCCGTTTCTTTCGGAGCCCCTGTCTCTCACTGCCTCCCAAAATTGGAGCAAGGGCTAAAAACAGGACCTCATTAAGACTGAGAAATGAGAAGCGGGCCTCAGGTGCATACAAAAACCGCCATGCAGAGGTACCAGCCATCGCTTCAAAGCCGAGCTGTTATCTGTGGCTTCCCAGTTGCACCAGTTCTGTTTGAAACCAGAGCTGGACGCCAAAGCTAGCTTTCAAACAGTGTTTCATCCTGCTCTGAATGGTGGACAGAACAGAACTAGGAAGCAGATCGAGGGCTGAGTTGCTGCCATTCTATAACCTCTCGATTGCCTTTGCAGAAGCTCAGGGTTGAATTCACCCGTTTTCTGCCAGTCACAAATAACCAATTTGTGGTTATTTGGGCCGGTTAAGCCGATCACTTTCCAAAATTCAAACCGGGCATGCCAAGGGATTCCACTAGAGAGGAGACAGCATCTAAAACTGCAGCCAGCTTCCCAATCTGCCCCTATCCCTGCTCTCTCTTCTCCCCACCATCTCCGTCCTTGTGCCAATCAATTTTTGGTGGGCTCTTGGGCAGATCTCTGCAAAGGAGCCAAGACAATGCCCGCATTCTGGTCTTCGGTCTCTACAGTGTACAGATTGTGCTGTTTGATGTAGGACAGAACCGAATCAGGCACCAGGTACCGTATGCTCTGCCCCCTCCGGAGGGCTCTCCGTATCTTGGTGGCCGAGATGTCGTTGGTGATCCATTCCTCCACCAGGTCGATGTTCTCCTTGTGCTTCCACAGCGTGTCCGACTCGTAGATGAACTTCTGGGCGTGGTTCCCCAGCCTGGTAACGCAAACCATGCCGTGCTTGGAGACGATTTCCTGGATATCTTCTGGTTTCCAGAGGCTGGGCACCGCAAAGGATTCCAGAAGATCTGTTCCACACAGAATCTTCAGCTGCGGGAGGCCTGGAGGAGACAGGGCAGATAGGGAAGGAAGCTGGATAGCAGAGCACCGGGCAGGGAAACCAGCAACATTTCGCTCCCCAAAGGTACCAATTCTGCAGCAGTAAATGAGGAATGCCATCTGCTGACGATGATGCAGAGTTGCCTCCAACTGGGGATGAGAGGCATATAAGTGAAATAA